AATCATAATAAACATTAGTTGTTATAATTTATATTTAATATATTCATATTAATTGTATATCATAGAATTTAATTTATATTTTCATTATATGATTATTATATAATTATTGATATTATTTTGTATTCATATGTTGATTATCATATATTTTCATAATTTATGAATGATTGTAATTTATATTTATTCATAATATATTAAATAAAACAATGTATATCTTTATTATCATATATTATTTATTATTAATGTTATTTTTATTTGATTTTCATCATTCTAAAATATAATTATTAATATCAATGAATATGATTGATTATGATAATCTAATATCAATATAAAATAATATAAATTGTTATTTTACATTATATAATAAATGAAATATAATATAATATAATATAAAATTAAATATAAATTAATTATTAATTGTTAATTCATTTATTTTATTATACAATATTAATATTATTTCATCAATTATTTAACTAATAAATGTATTTATGAATAATTTAATAATGTATTTATGATATTCATCATAAAATATCAATAAATTAATAAAATAATAAATTATATTTATTTCATTTTTAATTTAATTTTATATTAAATTAATTCAATCATATTCTTTTATTTATTCATTTTCTTTATCTTTGTTTATATTTTTTGTTTATTTCATTACATTCTTTATTTTACTTCTTTATTCATCTCATTCTTCTTTATTCTTTTGAATTTTATTCTTTCTTTTATTCATGTTTACTTTATTTCTTATTATCCATTTCTTTGTTTTTTATTTAAATTAACCATAATGAAATTTAAATCATTTGATTTTTTGTATTTTATTTCAAATAACTAAATACTGAATTAGTGTTATTGTTTCTTCAGTACATCACTACACAGTCTGATGATCTTCTTTGATTTGTTTCTGTAGAATTCTACTGTTAAATTCAGTACTTTCACCATAAATAACTTCTCCACTATCTTTACTTTCTTACATCTTATATATTTGTTATTTTATATGTTATATTATATTTTGTTTCTTCTATTATTTTACATTCTTCTTTTTCTTCATATCCAATTTCTTTAAATTCACCTATTAATTTATTGATTTCTTCTTTATCAAATGATGATAATCCTCTTGCCCATTTTATTAATTTTACTATTTCTTCTTCTGATCTTGTATTATCATAATCTTCATCATCTGGTTGTGAATCTACATAATACATTGGAATATCAATATTTTTATTTATTTTATTTGTTTGTTTAATAAATTCAATCATTTCTTCTTTGATTTCATTTTTTAAAATTTTATCTTTTTCAATTTTCTTTTGTGAATAACAGTTATAACATTTAGTCCATACAATACATACATGTTTCCAAAAATCTTTTATTGGGAAAGCATCAGATATAACTTTAACAATATATTTAAGATTACCAGAAAGTCTACAGCTATTATAATCCATTGTTAATATAATTCCTTGTAATCCTGTAACTTTAACACATCCAATAATATTTTGAATACCTTCATTATCAAAACCACAAGTATCATTAAGACCAGGAGTATCAATAACAAATACATCACTTCTATCTCCTTCTCCAAAATATCCAGCACCCTCTTTTGTAACTGAATTTAGACCATCACAAACCATAAAAACATTCTTCTTTAAAATAAAATTACCTAATGAACTTTTACCAACACATGTTTCTCCAATCAAAAGTAATTTAGTTTGTTTCAATCTTTCTATTGTTTCATGTCCTTCTTTTTCTTCATAAATAATTTCTTTGTATTCATTTATTATTTTATTGATTTCTTCTTTATCAAATGGTTTTAATCCTCTTGCCCATTTGATTAATTTTACTATTTCTTCTTCTGTTCTTGTATTATCATAATCTTCTTCTGGTTGTGAATCTACAAAAAACATTGGAATATCAATATTTTCATTTATTTTATTTGTTTGTTTAATAAATTCAATCATTTCTTCTTTGAATTTCTCTTTCTCAATTTTATATTTTTCAATTTTCTTTCGTGGTATGAAATTATAACATTTAGTCCATACAATGCATGTATGTTTCCAAAATTCTGAAAATAGGAAAATATCAGATATAACTTTAACAACTTGTTTAAGACTGGCATAAAATCTATCTACATTATAATTCATTGTTAATACAATTCCTTGTAATCCTGTGTTTTTAACACATTCAATAATATTTTGAATACCTTCATTATCAAAACCACAAGTATCATTAAGACCAGGAGTATCAATAACAAATACATCACTTCTATCTCCTTCTCCAAAATATCCAATAGTATCTTTTGTAACTGAATTATTACTATCACCTTCACTAAAAACATCACTTTTAAGAATAAAATTACCTAATGAACTTTTACCAACACCTGTTTCTCCAATCAAAAGTAATTTAGTTTGTTTCAATCCTTCTATACTCATTATTAATGTTTAAATGTTTTGTTTAATTGAATTTCTAATTCTCAGTTGTTTTTGATAAAAGTTAAATGATGTTTAAAGAAAGTGTTTTGAGATATAAATACATGAAGAATTGATAAATTAATAATGAATGAACAAAAAAATAAAATAAAAAGAACTTAGAAAACAATTATATTATTATTTTTTTATTTTATTTTTATTTTATTTTATTTTTATAATTAGAATATTCTCTTTTTTATTTATTTTGTTATTCATTATATTTTGTTATTTAATATTTTGAATAATAATCAAAGATTTAATATTTCAATAAATATAATCAATGATGATTATCACTATTTAAATAGTTATCATTTTATACACATTATCAATATTAGTTTATAATATCATTCTCATTTATGTTTATTATTTATACTAATTATTATTATATTATGTTATTTTATTATTATTTTGTTTGATTATTTGATTGTATTGATTTTATTATTCATTAATTTGATATGTTATTTTATTTATTCTTTTATTTTCATATTGAATATCTTATTTAATTTATATTCATTTATATTTATTTGTTATTATTGTGTTTATTCATTTCTTGTTATATCTTCTTTTGTTTTATTTCTTTATTTATCATTTCTTTTGTTTATATTATTTATTATTCTCATTGTGTTATTATTATATATCATTTATTATTTATTTTAAAACTACATTTATTTAT